CTTGGCAGGAGACCTCAGTTCCTAGGTGGCTCACCCTGCAGGGTAGCTTCAGTATCCTTACAACATGGCAGCTGGCTTCCCCCAAGCAAATGATCCAAGAGAGTGACCAAGACAGAAGAAGCCCCATTGTCTTTTGTGAGTTAGTCTTGGAAATGATACATCATTAGAAGCTAATCACTAAGTCTAGTTCACATTCAAAGAGAGAGACGTTTTGCTTTCCCTCTTCAAGGGAGTTTGAAAGAATTTATGGAGATATCTTAAAACTACCGCAGATACTTGTCCGGAGAATGAGCCCCCTGTGGATCTCTTCTCGCCTGCATTCCTTGCTGGATATGCTAAGAATGCAAGGCCCCAACTGCTTTTAACCTGGGCCATTTCTCATTATTGGGTTTGCAGCAAGCCACCTTGAAGGATGAAGCAGTATCTCCCACTAGGGGAGAGCAGGCTTACTTACTGCTCACTATGAAAGTGGTGGATTGATTCTCTCCACTAAATGTTTCTCAGCTGTGATGCAAAGCCGCTCTCTGTAGCATCTATATGGGCCCCTCTGTGTCACCTTGTGGGACTTGGGAGTAACAGGGAGCCAGTGCATACATGATGCTCATGCTGCTTGCTGTGCTGTAATCAAGTTCTTTGTCTCTGACCCTGGAGACTCATATGTTCTGTTTGATTGGCAGAGGGAGAAGGTTTCAAATAACCACAAGAAATACTCTGTAGGGAGCTAACAAACTATTGGATAGGAAGCTAACTGAGGGACTTGTAGGGCTCTGGGTCAACGTTATGTGCTCAAACTGAACACCTTGCATGATTTTCTCCAGTAGCAGTCAGGATTCCAGGTGTGCAGTCAGTGAAGGTGTTTCTTTTGGATTAATCAAGGGCAAAGGAGTTTGGAATGTGAAATTATTTTGTTCAACTTTCATAGTTTAATTTATGTACAGTAAACAGCATATTTAAAGTATATAGTGTGATGAATTTTGATGTGTATATGTCTGTGAAACCATCACTCCAGGCAAGATAATGAACGCTTTCATCACCCCCAAAGTTCCCTCCTACCCTTTATGATCCATGCCTCCTCCTCATCCCCATCCCCTCTCAGACTCGCACTGATTTGCTTTCTGTTACAATAGATTAGTTCTAGAATTAGAACCAATTAAATATCAACAGAATTATACTGTATAACTTTTCTTTTGGAGGGTGTCAAAATGCTTTTTGTCAGCTGTTTAAAGAGCAAGAATCATTATTTTGTGGATTGCGTGTCTGGCATATTTTTAAAATAAATTTATTTTTTTAAACACTATCTTCCCTGAAGCTCATGAGATTAAAAAGCCAGTATGAGGGCTTTCAACAGAGCTAGTGAATTTCCTTTTTTTGTTGTATAAATGAAGATAGTTCTTAGAGTAACAAAGACTTTACATGCATATGCTGTTTTGGATTTGGAAGTGACTGGAACATTAGAGTGCACCTACTAATGCAGCAAACTTGGTGTGGACTTGTGTTACTGGATCTCAGCCTATTTAGTGTGATTCAGTTACTTGACTACATGAAAACAGAGTTCTTCACAAAGCACGGGTGGGAATTTTTAAATTGAATGTGGCCACTTAAAGTTCTGATGGCATGATTTATTACTCTGTATTTTGTTGGTTTCACTTATTTATTTATTTTTAAAAGATTTTATTGGGGAATTGGGGAAGGG